ACTTGATCACTACATAATTAGGAGTATACTGTACTCTGGATGCGCACAGTAACTCCAACCCTAAAACTATGAAGGCGGAATGTATAGTGCCGCTACCCACTAAAAAAATGGCTAGGACGCACCGAAAAAAGGGACGCGATTTTTCCGGTCAACGTCTATTCCATTTTGTGTATATACATATTTAAATGGACGACTTACCAGACATCGCTGCTGAAGTCCTTGTCCTGTATTGAATCCATTCCATATCGATGTAGTTGTTTCGATTCGAACAGACGAAGGGATAGGAAGGGAAAGTGTTGGGAGTAAGTTTTATATGGTACCATACAGAAAAATAAGGGGGGGGGGAAGAGAGAATTTAGTCAGTATTATACCCCCAAAATTATGGAAAGTAAGGATAGAGATCCCACTGAGACCTCCATATCAGATTATAGGTTCGTGACTCCTACATCTGAGAGCGTAGCGGGAACGGGTGTTCTTCTGTGACACAGTACTCTTGCCTATATATATTTATTACTAATACAACATTATAAATAGAACAGGGGGAACGGGTCAAGACGAGGAGGCCATACGGCCAGGGCGATGATCCACGGCTGCGGAGTAGAGTAAGTCGACCCGGCTGTCTCGAACCACCCTCTTTTATATTGGTCTTGTGCGACGTAGCATAGTAGATTGATGGCGGCAGCCATGATGAAGCGGCAGCGAAGCGAGGACACGACACAGATAAGTTAGTTTTAATTAACAGTTTCGCCACAGAAGCAGTACTGAAGCAAGCTCCGCTGTGCGCGTGAGCCTACTGGTAGCAGCAAGTGGTTCCCTCCTCGCCGTTGAGGTGAGTTGATGGCCACGTAGTTTTTGGGTAACCTAGCGCGATTGGCATGGACACGATTGGGCCCGTTCGTGTCCAGCCATAACTGCGCTTTGTCTTCAGCGACTTCTCCGCCCTTCGAGTCGACTCTGGACAAGGAATGAACCACGTCGGTGCAGCTGACTATTGCCTTTTTGGGGTCGACTTTATTCAGCTAAGTTTTCCGTCCACCTCCAGGTTTTTTCAAGTCGCGAAGTTCCATCTGGGACTGGGTTAAGTGCGGTATTCCTGTCATTGCGAACGACCTTTTTTTTACCACGGTAACATATTCTACACGCAGCAGGGGTCCAAAACTGTCAGGCGCCGTAGTTGGAAGAAAAGGTTTCCTATAGAAAGGTAAAAGTTAGTATATCCTGAGTGAGCCGAGTATCGTGGTATCCAGGTAATGCGTTGGTGTATTTCGTACGCAGTGTGGTGTTTCAGGGACGTTAAATCGTGTTGTTGACTGCTCCAGGAAGTGTACGGTATTCCTACTAGTAGCAATATTCAGTGTCATTTTACTCAGTTGATGAGTTTCTCCGGGAGTGCGTATAATTTCAGAAAAAACAAAAAAATAAAAGCAAAAAAGTACAAAAAAACATAATTATGGCTGCTAGTTTCGTATGACTCGCCCTGTCTTTCAGTTGGGTGGTACCTCTTGATAAGGATTCCAAGAGGACCCAAAGGGTTCGCTTTCAAATTCAGTCTGCGGGTAGTCCTCGCCAGTTGGAAAGTCCCCAGCCGTGGCCGTGGAGTTGGTTTCTTGGTCCCCCAAGTTGCAGCTATCAAGAGCGCGTGGAGTTATTTAAAAAAATCGCGGTGTGTCCGAATTCCAAAGTCAAATATTATTAATTATAGTAACTCAGATGAGTTTGAAGGTCAAGTGCACTAGTATTCAATCTCATAGTGTATTCCTACAAGCGACTGGATGAAGGCCAAAGAAACTTCGCATTAAGGGCCTCTCTCTCATGACTTATCCACTTCTCTCTGATTCACATGTGGTCAAGTCCCAAATGGCAATGGAATTAAGAGATTGCTAATGTCTGGTAACCCCGCTCTATTAGTAATACAGGCCACCCTTCGTATGAACATAGCCAGAGTTGGCTGCTGCGCTGCGATGCCAGTTAAAAGCTGCTGTTATGAGAGAAAAAAAAATCAAAGTTTTATTAGAACGGTCATTACTAGCACTTGCACCTTCTCATAAAGCTCGGAGAGATTTCTCTAATGGTTTGAATTCCTGTACAGAAAATGGTTACAAAAAAGGGAACAGAACGCGAATTCGTCATCTTACAAGATTTCGAAGGATCAGAGTTCATTGCAAACCATCAGTAAACAGCAGTTTTTCAAAAAAAACATCGCCTAGTCAATGAATAATTCCGATGTAAGTGCGACAGCTATTCCGATCAAGGGTAAGGCAGACGTTTATGATTCAACACAGCAGGTGAAATAAACTTACAAGATTTATAGAACGAAATATATCGGGATGGTTAAAAGTCTTAAAGCTCAGGCTGGACGAAGCACACTACAGAATAGAAAATTAATATGGTTTAATGGTAAACTATGTAGCATCAGCAAACATAAGGCTATCAGTCAAAGACAAGGTTGAGTGACTGCTGGTTCTGTCCTTCGGCGTTCTTCACAACACATTTGTACTTAGCCTGGTCTTCTTTTTGTGGTCCATGGATTTCCAATAAGAATTGGTACCCATCCTTTTCCTGCGAGTATCATGTTTCTATTGCATTCTTATGTGAGATGCTCGTGAACTTTATGACCCTTACCTTATCGTCCTTCTTAGTGACGCATTTTATTCGATCCGAGTACTTTACAGGCTTGTCGTCCTGAAACCGCATTTTGACCGTTTTTCGATAGTAACAAAACATAAATTGAAAGACAGCGGATGTTTTTCACTTATGTCCGGAAAAATCAGAAGCGATTTCCCCTCTGACAAAAACCTGTTTTCCAACCTTTAAGCTGAAAGCTTTGAAGTGCCTTTCCTAGCAAATCTTGGAGGGCCATTGCGACCTATTAGTTAACTTAGATATTTTGATGGCTCGCTATATTTCAGTGTTGGTGCCTAATGAACCTTCTTCGTCACTGTCTATATAGAGAACAGCTATGGATACAACTGCGGTCTTCGAAGGTTTCGACAAAAACCTGTTTTCCAACCGTTTAGCTGAAAGTTTTGAAGTGCCTGTCCTAGCGAATCTTGGAGGGCCATTGCGACCTATTAGTTCACTTGTTAGATTTTTTGATGACCCACCATATTTCAGTGTTGGTGAATAATGAACCTTCTTCGTCACGGTCTATATAGAGAAGAGCTATGGATACAACTGCGGTCTTCGAAGGTTTCGAGTAGGATTGTAAGTTTGCCAAGTCATACCAACGCCAACCGAAACTGACCTTGAACCACTCGGCTTTCATTTCCAACTCTGATTTTGCTCGAACTTTGATTACTATTATGTTGCCATTGTCTCGTTGAACAATATGCGGTTTATCATGGAAAGTAGGTGCATCTAAAAAGGAAAAATAGCCAGGTAACATTTTCAAGAACGTCAGAAAGTGCAAGAAAAGTGTTTCGTAATTTAGCTTTAGCCATCATTACATAAAGCGATTCCTTAAGACACTCACTTCCTGCAGTAACAGTGAATTTTGCAGAGTTTTCACCATCGTTTGAGTAAAATGTTGCCATGTACTCTCCAGCAAGTTCCTTATCGAAATTCTGAAATTATTTCATATTATGTTCAAAGGATAATTCGTCTTTCGACGCTCATATCATGGCGATAGTTAACAAAGGGGGGGGGGGTGCTAGCACAGCTCTTTACCCTGAGTTGCTCACATGCTGCTCACATATTTTCATGCTCCCTCCTGGCTGACACCTTTCTCCTTCAGCCCACACTCGAAGGAGCAACTAAAAACTTTTTCTTAACCAGTGTAAGTACATGTGCAGTCAGTTTCTTTCCTTGAAAAGGAGTTTTTCACAATACATCAATAAATTTCACTGGTCAGTGTTGGGGTATCGTCAATTGCCTTGAGGGTAGTCGGTCACTGTGGAGAAGTTTTGAATTTTTCATTGCTTTAGCGCAATGTCTAACCCCTTCCCTGAGTATACCAGCTCAAAAATAGATTCACACGGTATCGGTTTCTTTTTTTTAAGAAAAATGCAAAATACGACAGGCGAATGCTACAATAATAGATTAATAAAGTTGTTTTGAATCCAACTTCTCCTCATGTGTCCTTTGTTAAGGCGATTTCCAAAAATTTTACTAGTCGTAGCGCTCTCGTTTTACCATTGTACTGCTTTATGCTCTTTGTTAGAATTCGCTTTTTTGATGGGCCGACTTCTATGATAGGCTGGGCCCCACGGGATTCATATTCTTCTAGCGCACCTCAAACCTTGCTCATTTCTACCGAATTGTTCCGATTTACGGCCTGTCCTGAAATTGAGGTATGCATTTTTGTGGTAGGTAGTATCCATCCACGGTGACCCTCTTTCTGGGTGTCCTAACTCGCTTACGTATGCATGAATAATCACAAAAAATATGTAGCTATTGAAGAAACGATGACAATAACAGCAGTAAACATAATAATTACAAGGTTTCCTTGCCCTTATGTAAAATTAGTTCGTGGGCAAAGTCACAATGCCTCCGTTTCATCCTTAACGTACCTTAATTTCACACATCAATTTTTTTCTGTTTCCTCCCTCATCCGTATGGCTGAATTGATATTTATCGCCTTGTTCCAGTTGTTTCCCGGCTAGCATCCATTTTGTTTTGGCAGTATCGGCTCCAGTAACAACAACCTAAACTAATGAATGTAGCCTGTGAAAGTTATTTAAGCTGTTCAAGTTTTTTGAATTTATATTTCTGCAAGGAGCCAATCGATTCCTTAGCAAAAAGGATATTGGGGGGGGGGGGGGGGGGGGTGGGGAGGGNGTGTCATGGGGGCAAGGAGCCGAGGGTGAATTACCATATCATAACTTTAATGATTGTTAGGCTACTACTGACGTGTTTGGGAAAATCATTCAGTGCATGAAGCAGATTAAAAGGCACAGTAGACATTACTTCATTTTTCATAGAGCAACGCCTTACACTAAAATCAGCAAAGAAAGTTTGACATGGAACCACCATCTCAGATCTAATGGTAAGGTAGATTAAGATGGGGTCTCCGCAGATCTCCTACACTGAGGATTCTCTCTTACTGATGGATCTCTAGCCGGTTAATGACAAGGCCACGCGGCGCGACTCCAGTTAGGAATAGGGGAGTAACAGGTCAAAAGCCGCCGACACTTGCCCGAGACGCAGGTGGATTCAGAGGATGGTTTCGCTGTTTCTGCTGTGATGGGTCGATTTATAACCTGCCTTCTTGCAGGCGCATCCATGTAAACGTGTGTGGAATGTGCGTGTACAGTTGCGTTGCTTAATTTGTATTCGAGGCCAAAACTTTGTTTCGAGTAAGTGCAAGTAACTCGGGAGCGTCGCTTCAGGAAACGAAACACCAGAACTTTATCGACACGAAAAACTTCGCTTCCCTTGCAAGTCTCCGTGAGATTCTGAGAAATTGTACGACGCCCGGTCCCAATTAGGTTAAACTAGAACATCTCAGAAACTTTCCACCAGCTATCGTCAAGACTCCGGTTAGGTTATTCACGCGGTACTATCGGAATGCGAAGTTCCGGAATGGTGGAAAGTTAGGCAGATTATGTTGCAGTATAAGAAGGGAGATCCATACGATACTGGCAAATATCGCCTAATCAGCTTACTGTCTGCGATCCTCGGACGGGTTATTCTCAAAAGGTTTGGCGGAATACTGGATGAAGGACAGCCATGCGAGTAAGCAGTAATCCGCAGGAAGTTCGGTTAAATCGGTCATTCCATACGACACAAGATTCATTCAGGTATCAATGTACAGGACGCCTTCAAGTCTTACGTTCATTTATACAAAATGCCTTCGACAGCTCGAGACAGAAGTGGTAAAGGTGAAGCTAGTCAATATATAAGCCTTTATTAGCTCCATAATCTTGTCGCGAATGGAACTTTACTATTCCACAAGGAAGTGATCGTCAACGTGAGGGAAGGGTTCAGAAGGGCAATAGATTTCCTCCAAGGTACCCAGTGCCACTCTCGAGAACGTCACGCGCCAGTGAAAATGAAAAACATGGGAGTGAAGGTCAACATCCGTCAGTTACAACAACTCCACTTTACAGTCGACATCGTTTTGAGAGCATCGAGGGAGTCGTGAAGAAGATCTCGGAGTTCCACAGTGAGCAAACTCTAGGACAGTAGCCAATCGTTGATTAGACGTCTTCACAAAAGCTTTGAATGCAGGGAATTGTATGACTCCTATCCGTCGAGCAATAGGGGTTCACTGGTATACATTAGCTCACGACAAGGATGACTAAAACATTAATGGTGCCCGTTCGGTGGAACCATGGCAAATGACCGGATGATCGGCGGGACAAGTGGAATACAGTGGATACGCGCCAACAACGCGCTGCGACGGCGATGAGCTAGGAGCAAATTTTATAGAACAAGGGAAGCCTAAAGAAACATCAATTCAAGTAACATAATCAGCAATGCCAACGCCAGCTCTTGCTCCAGACACGAGACACCCTTTCGAAATCTACCGATCGAAATGATATGATCGGAGTGATCACTAACGGTTTTGTACTTACGCTATCCATAGTAACTTGAAATTCAAGAAGCCCTCCCACCTTACAATAGGAGGACTCAGGAGACAGCTGGGGAACAGCTGTATAATGGAAAAGATCACGTCCGATTGATGACACTTTTTCTGTGGCTTTCCATGCGGTTAATGCAGTGTTCAGCATGAGGTTCTGATTTTTCAGATTTCGGGAAGAACCTCCATATTCAAAAAATAAAGATCGTCCTAATTGTTGTGGCATCCTTTTCTACACGATTTCAAGGAAAGATTGGTTTAAAATTGGTTTGATTGATCGAAAAAGGATACAACTGACTCGCCGGACACCTTCACGAAGTATCAGGGAAAAAGAGAGCTCGAAAGTAGGCAATGGAACTCTTTTTGGGAGCTCTCGAGCTTACATGTCAGTGCAAAATTCCGACGGAATGTGCGGAATTAGCCAAGTGACGTTCAAACATACGAAGCGATGCAGAAAAAAAGAGATGGAAAAAGACCCGACTGGGAGACCGATATTGTCCAGACGTGAGCCCGGAAATGCATAACACTGCTCGCTAAAGCTTCACCAATCGCAGATAAGTGCGTCTATTTTGACGACCAGGGGAGTACTCATTGTATCGGAATAGCCTAATTTAGGGAAGGATCACCTACAACCTCTACTCCAATCTTTCTGCACAGCTATTCCCGCCTTCCTACCTACCATCTTAGACAGGATGGATATGACAGTTTTTTACTTCTCTCTTCCAAAGCTTGCCATGCTAGTGGTAATGGCCTTGCCTGATTACTCTGATTGAAAGGTGACTAACTGCCGGGAAATTTTTTTGGCAGGACCTCATTCGGCTAATCAAGGGATGGAGCACTGTTGTGATAAGAACGTTCTCATTCTTGAATCTTACCTCAAGAAATACTGAACCATTATCTGCAGGTCGAATCTTTGGTTCTCCGTAGATGGAAGGTGGAGCCATTCCTGAACGTCTCTTGAAAAAAAAGTCAAGGAAATATGGAATCATCGTCCGCGTCTGTACATAACCTCGCTCAGAGCTCATATGAAGTCATAAATCGTAGAGAGTGAATGATATCGAAAAGGAGCCACCCATCGGTATAGGTACTTCAGCACAGAATGGAAAATCTATACAACCCCACATAAACTCGTGCTCCTCGTATGCTCGTAACTCCCCACTCCTCGTAACTCTTCCGATCAAGAAAAAACTACCGACAAAAACAACAGGTACATCTTAATTTGATTTCTCAAGGGCTACTCATCGTGAAATAATGAAGGAGTCTCACATGTCAGGGATGAGACCACACTTGAAGCTTAGCAAATGCATTTGAAATTTAAGAATGGAGGTACGACGTCTTATTGTTTACCAGATGAGAAGAATTTGCTCATGACCAATTCTGAGACATGCCCCGCCCCTTGGAGGCGGAGCTCCGCTAGGCCCACATGTGCTCTGCCGCACCTACCCTATGCTCAACCCATTCCAAACTTGACCTGACTTCTCCAGGTGCTTCTTCAGGTCATATCGAATTTCCGTACAAACAAACAGACAGACAGACGCTAGCGCATTATATATAGTAAGGATAGATAACGCCTTTTGGTATGAATCAGTCCCGTCTTAGGACCCTTGGGCCGGGGCCATGCGTCGTGAAGGTGTGCCTTTTTTCCAATACACCACAACGGCCTCTGATTCGACGTACATTGCGAGAAAGATTTTGGTTTACGTTTATCATTTTTCTTTTCTACAAATACACCGTCTATTCCGTTTGTCTAACAGTTGTGAATAAATCGTGCGGACTGCTACAGTACCGTCCAATGTGTATGCGTTTCTACTTTTTCCAGCGCAACTTACTCAAAACACAAAATTTTCTATTGCTTTTTTTGTTGTGAATACCTGATTGTGGTCAGAGAACAAGTTTTCAGTCGTCAAATTAGCAGTGAAAAATTTTGAAAGGCTTCACTCTTAGAAGAATTCAAGCACTGTAATACCAGTAAGAATTCAAATTGACTTAACTTTCAATTCCTGAGTGCAGCGACTTGCTTAAAAGCAAGTATAACAGATATGACAAGAATGCTTTGTCTCCTAACCCCTACATCTCTCTTAACCTTTAGCGTCAGTGAAAGTTTGGATCGGCTTGGCATGGACTCGATGAGCTTGTCAACCTCCTCTTGAGGGATGTTCTTCCATGCAGTCTTCAGCTGAGGAACTTGTTGTGCTCATCGCGAGCTCAGAGGCCTTTAACTTGAAGTTCGGGCCTATCCTCAGATGTTCACTAAGATTCAGATCTGTGGATTGCGACGGCCGCAGCAGCAAAGGAACGTTGTTATCGCGGAACCACCTTGTGAGCAGCTTCGATT